CCTATCTTCTTCTGAATCATTGTCCCTTTTTCATTTGCACTGAGTTCGTGGGTGCAAATTTATATGAATGAATGGGCATATCCTTCTTGGGTCAACGTACAGACTATTTTTTAGGCTTTTACCATCATCTTGCACTTCGGGGTATTCTTTTCCCCAATACAAAAAATGAGGAAATAGGCCATGAAAGGTGTTTCAAGCAATGCTAGCCCTAACTCAATATTATAATCATCTGAGTGTTTTTAAAGCTCTAGCTGCCAGCTCCACCCCCAGAGGTGCTGATTTATTTGGTGTCACATGAACTCTACACATTGATTACTTTTGTACTGATGTTTATGTTCAAGTAGGTGAAAGCCTCTAGGTTAGAATAAAATCGCCCAAAATTATAAAGAGGAAATGTGAGCATTTTGAGGGCAGAGAGAGAATGTCTCTAATTCATTTTGGGGTGCCAGAAGGGAATAAATGAATGCATTAATCAGATTTCTAATTCACATTAGCCTAAATCTAAAGCCCTGGTATTTTTTTTTCAAAGCCATTGTATTTCTCTGCCCTTGAATTTGTGTTATCTTAAACATGACACCAAGGCCAGATTCTTAACTTCCAAGGAGAAACTGAGAGCTACATTTCAAAACCTCATACATCCATGGAGAAGAAATCTCCCATTGAGTTAAATTTAGGCAATAAAGGGATTAATTATATAGACTGATAAATTCTATACCAAGAGTGCATTTCACATAATAATTAAATAAGCATTTCAGGCAGTTTTTAGAACAGTGGGCTTTCTTGGTTTAATTAAAAAGATATTCTTGGGGCACCTAGTGGCTCAGTTGGTTGAGTGGTTGACTTAATTTTTGGGTCAGGTCATGATCCCAGGGTCTTGGGATTGAGCCCAGCATTGGGCTCTGCACTCAGTGTGGAGTCCACTTGAGATTCTCTCTCTCTCTCTCTCTCTCTAAAATAAACAAATACATCTTTTAAAAGATGATATTCTTAAATAGAAAAATGGTTTCTGGTGCACGTTCTTAAGTGTCTCTTGTCTACTCTGTGCTGAGCATGATGCTCATTATTAATTATGGATATAACTGAAAAAGACAAGCAAGCTATCTGGTTTTATAGAACTTTTATTTCAGACTCTGATGAAGTCAGACCTGGAAACCAAGCTCTAGTAGACTTTTCATGACAGGAAAAATTCAGGTGACTGATTATCAGGGTAGGATAATCTCTGCAACAGACCGATCTTTGAATGAGGGAGTTTTTGAAACACTTGTTCCATTTTTTTCATCCATCAAACTGTTTTGTGGGGCAGGAGGAGACACACAAATTGAAAACAGACATAAACTCTTACAGAGTCGTAATAGAGAGGAACAGATCTACACTGTAAGAGAGAAAGTGATGAGTGCCGTGAGAGACACAGATGCAGAATCCGGTATGGTGATAGACCGATCATTCCCAGGTCGGGGATGAGGATGAGGAGAAAAGTGAAGCAAGTGGTAGGGATAATGGAAAAATCATTGGAATTTGACCTGTACTTGTAAAGATGAATTTGATGATCTGCACAAACATATTCATCATTCCTTGCAGGGGCTTTGCTTAGAGATTTGTCTCTTCCGCTGAATAAATTACAGATATGAGCAAATCATCTTTTCCATTCCTCGAATGTTATTTATTAGATATATAGCAATTAAACAGTTAAGCAATTAAAAGATGCCGTTTTTCCTGCATCTTAAACCACTTATATCTTTGTCTCTGCCTGTATACACGCATGCGTGCGTGCACAGACACACACAGAGTCCTCCACACACTCACTCTGCTCTCTTCTCCCTCTTTTTTTTTCCTTCTTACTTATACTTAGATAGAGTGGACTTTGATTTGAAAAATACATACTAATAGTGCAGCTTTTCTTAATATTGTCTTGTAGCCTCAGCTCTCCCCCTCGCATTAAGGAAGTTCTTAAACTTTAGTGATATGAAGTGAAGGAAAAAAACAGAATAATTCTTCCTTAGATCAATTTCCTGAAGCTTTGGTTCAGGCTGGTGACTATATGTAGTTTTTAAATATGACTTGAAAGAAAAGATAAAAAAAAAAAGAAAAGAAAAGAAAAGAAAAACCCATCTGTAGGTAATAGAATCAGAGCTACCATAATAGTCCCATTAAAATGATTCTATCATAACAGACCCAGCAAAATAGGGAAGCACTTATGTGCTCTTAGATTTATTACTAGCCTAAAGAGTATGTTTTAATTTCTCATATATTCCACAGTAATTAATCCATTTAGAAAACTAGTAGTGAAAAAAAAAAAACTAGTAGTGTTATAGTCATGGCTTCCAATAATTTTAGGTACATTTGAAGTATTCATTAAAAAAACACACACACACAGTTCAAATGTGTTTTAGCACTTTGCAATTGCTTAACATTCATAGAGCAAATACCCAGGCATGCATATTGTATTTTTAAGATGCACAGGAATTAAAGATGATGAATGATGCCGGGACATTAAAACTCAGACACCGTTGTATTATCTTATCTCACGTAGGGCCCAATCAAGGCGTAGAAACTTGAATTGTGTGCGTTAAACAAAAGCTCACGGTTAATTTAACTTCCTGATAGTTTTATATTCAGAAAGAAATCTGCCAATAAAAACATATTGAGAATATTAAGCATGCTGTATTAGATAAGATTGCCCTCTAGAAAAAAGCCAGAGGGAACTAAAACCTCCAAAGGAAACATTAAATTTGTTTAAACAAGGTTGGGGCGCCCCTTGCTGGCTAGTGTATATATTACTCCACTGTGCTCACATCCCTTGACTTTTTTGGTAAATTTGGCTTTCTTTGCGGGTATGGATTATCTCTAAAATTTACATTCCAATATAGAGCTCTTCTGGATGTTATGTTAAATGGGTAGATTTTTTTGTTGGTCTCGATAGGATGAAAAGGCAAGCTTAGTGAATCTCCAGTTTCTTCCATGCTTCCTACCTGGTTGGTCAACCTTCTCATTTCCCTTTTCTCTGCAAACTGCCCATCTCCCCCTGCTGGGTTACCATACCCTACTTCCTCTACTGGACTTGCTTTGATTTTTCTAAATAATCAGCCTCACTTCCTGTGGGTTTGGCTGCTGTGGGTCTTGGTCACAACCCCTTTGGTGATGTGTGTCTTTAGCTCTTTTTGCCAATGACTTCCCTGGATGGCTTGAAGCAGAGGCCCAGGCCCCAGGCTGAGTCCTCCCTGAGGTTCCAGAAGGTGTTGTGTCTAGTAGACCACCCTCTTTCTCCATCTGCTGTAAATCAAGGGTTTATTAAGACAGCTTTCTAATCTTCCATGGAGTATCAGAATGCTGATTCAAAGATCTTACATCTGACTTAGAAAATACTGAGATGTGAGGAGTATAGTGCAAGTCATTTTATTTGTTTGTTTTTGAGAGAGAGAAAAAGAGAAAGAGAGCACATGCTTGAGCGGGAGGGGGAGAGGGAGAGGGAGAGAGTGAGAAAATAAGAAGCAGACTCCCCCCCTGAGCACAGAGTCTGTTGCAGGGCTCAATCTCAAGACCCTCACCTGACCCGGAAAAAAAAAAAAAAAAAAAGACCTGACCTGAAACCAAGAGTAGGACACTTAACTGTGCCACCCAAGTGTCCTGATGCAAGTCATTGATTAAGGTGGTTTGGTCCAAAGGTGCACACTGAGGTTAAAATGACATAGTTGGGTGATTATAGGGCTATAGGGAGTGGACTCAAGTTTTTCTCTTCTATTTATAAACTATATTTATCTTTTAAAAGTTAGTAATTGAAATAGCTTTTGAAGGGCCTGTAGGAAATCTGAACGGTGGCAGGACACTCTTGTTGACATTATTTAAATTATGGTGATTGGAATTGCTGGAATTGCAGCACAAGTGCAGCCTTCTCTGTGGTAGTGGTTTTTAAAATGAAACTGCTCTGCCCAGAGGGTCCTGGAGGGCTATCCCTGCCCCACCTCGCCCCCTAAACACACATGCATTCTGAAAGTCTCTGGGCTGGGGAAGCAGATACGGCTCTCACCTGCACTTGGCTCCTGCTTAGGTGCATGGGAGGTTGACAGTTTTAATGGAATCGAAATCTCAAGGTGGAAAAAAATTTCAAGTTTAAATCTGCCCTGGGCTTTGCATCATAATAAAAAGTGACTAAAATTTTTGCTAGGATCACTCTGCTACATGTAGACTATTGTGTACCTTCTCGATTAGCCTTTAGAAGATGTTATCCTTTGGAGATGTGGAGTCTTCATTTTCTCTGGAGCCCGAGGCTTGCCTCCTATCAGAGGGAGCTCCTCTGTTAGTTGCTGTTCTTGATGGTTGTCATTTTAAACACGTGAAGCCAAGGATGGCCTCTTAAGCTGCCTCTGATCTTGCCAGCATTTCTAAAAGGAGTCTCTGGTCATCTCTAAAGAACCAGCTTTCTGGATCCAGTGTCCATGACATGATAGAAGCAGAGTTTCTCCACTCCACGCTTAAAATACGTAATCCTGTGTATCATCACTTCGTTCTTAACTCAGGCTCATAAAAAGTTTTGGCCAACAGAAATGTTAACCCGTCCTCATTTTTAACATGCAGAGCAATTTCAGAGTCCTCTTATTTGAACAAAACTATCCAAATTTATGAAACAATTGAGAAACCCCAAGTGTAAATGTACACCTAGAATGAAAGCAGCGGGGACGTGAGCGAAGAGGGGAGGACACCTGTTAGAGATGTGGCCCGGCATGGTCCCCGGGATGACCCAAACCCTTCCCTGCATTCAGTTTATTATCCCCCCAAAATACCACTTCTGTAGGTCTACATAACTCAGTACAATTTAAAATATAGTCCTTAGAGTATTCAGATCAAGCTTTCCAATGTGAAGTCAGAATTTGTTTCCGGTGAGTGGCAAGTGCATTATCTGGGAGTAAACTATGTGTTTGACTTTTACACAGGAGTAGTCCTGTGGGGCATCCTGGGGTAGGCATTCAATAAAGGCGCTCTTTTTTTTTTCCTTTTTATTACAGTGTTTCTAAGACCTCAGAGAAATTTGGAATCTATAGACCCACAGTTTACAATTCGGAGGAAAATGGAACAGATGAGAGAGGAGAAGGAATTGCTGGATCAACTCCGTGAGGTACCCAGGAAACTGCTCATAACTGAACACTCATTTTCCAAATTGAGGCAGCATTCTGTATATTTGAAAAACAGACTTAAAAAAGAAGAACTTTTATTTATCCTTCTGAGAGAGAGAGAGAGCTTGAGCGGAGGAGCAGAGGGAGAAGCAGAGTCCCCACTGAGCAGGGAGCCCGATGTGAGACTCGATCCCAGGACCCTGGGATCATGACCTGAGCCAAAGGCAGATGCTTACCCGACTGAGCCACCCAGGTGCCCCTGAAAAATAGCCTTTGAAGCAGTGCAAAAAGGCCTCATCTCACATCTAGCCAGGTCACCGACTGACTGATACTGGGCAAGTCACGTAACAGCCCTGAGTTTCAGGTCTTTTCATGTGTCAGAAAAATACTTCCCATCTTCGTGGGGGCTTTGTGAGGAATATATGAGATAATGTAAGTAGAAATACTTATTACATATGGATAAAACCTGGGTTTGTTTCGATTCAGGTATGCTTTAAAATAATACGCTGTCACTCGTTTACTTAGCGATAATATTCCATTAATTTAAACATGGTTATCGCTACCCTACTCTGTATCCCAACTGGTCAGAACTTTGTAATCAGTCATTTTAGAGGCAAACCATTTGAGTTCCTGCCCAAGGGTGAAGTCTGGTGCTGGGTGCCATTGGAGATCCTAAGGTTGGTGATGGCAGGGAACATGGCTTTCTTATTCCTTGTATTTCTGTTCCCACCTAGCTTCTGGTGGGCGCTCTATCTGGTGGGCGCTCTATGTAGGTATTTTGTCCATCCTCGTGGCCTTTGTATCTAGTTGGAGAGCTCATATATAAGTCTATGAAAGATCAAATAGCAGTGCATGGGTCAGTTGCCAGAGAACACACTGGTATTAAAGTCAACACATCATGAATTGCTCCATAATATTCAGAAAGAAGTACCATAGTCGTGGGCCAGAAGAGTGTCTGAAAGCCCAGAAGGGATGGATTTAAGATACATCTCCCTTCCCTAGCAGTGGTTACTGACTGCTACGCTGTGCCCAGCAGGATTCTAGGAGGTGAATATAGGAGGGAACATAAAGGTCCCTGTTCCCATGAGGCCTATAGTCCATGGAAGAGAAGAGACAGTGAATGAGAAGGAGACAAATAAACATATGATTTCAGATGGCAATGAGTTCTGTAAATGAGAAATGAATCCCATAAATAAAATTAAAGTAGGTACACATCTTTGTTGCTGCAGGTACTTTATATATGGTTTAGCAGGTAGTCAGGAGGAAAGAATTAAAAACACAGACACTCTTACCACTGCTTTAAGTCACTGTGGTTGACTCAACAGTCACGTGGAAAAAATCAGACCCCTGTCATTCGCCTAGAGTATGGATGTGCCGTAAATTTGGGAGGTGGACTTTCAGAGATAGGTGAAAATAAGATCAGGAGCCGAGCCTCACAAAGAGTGACACAATTTCATCTTTAAAGGGGTGGATTGTATTGGTTGTTTATGTTTTCATTTATGATGTAAACTAAGGGACTGCAAGAGCGTGGAGGGAAAAAAAGTAGGTGTGTTCACACAGGACGGTTCTGAAAAGGAACTGCGTGATGCTATTTTAGGCACTGGTTTTCTGGTGCTTCATTTATTCCAAATCTCCAAATTAAGTCATTCTTTCCTAGACTGTTTTCCGTTTAACAGGAGCCACTGTTATAAAATAGAGATTCATATTTGCAGTTTAGAGAGTTAATCTCTCTACTTCTATTTCTGAGAAGATGGACCTACTTTGCTCTATTTCCCTAAGTACAGCTAAAACCCCTGTACATTATATATAAAATAAACGTAAGAACACTCTGAAAGGTAGAGAGAAGACAGCAGACTGGCTGGGGCCCCTCAGGACTAGAAATAACACAGTGGTGAATTCTATGGGCTTTCTTTTTTATCTCATATGTCTCAGACTTGGAGCAGAAGTAGTTGGAAACCCAGAAAAGATTGCCCAAAAGCTTGCTTATTTTAGTCAAAGTACCAGGAAAGGAGCAACTTAGCAAGACCAAAAAAAAAAAAAAAACCTTTTGGACAATAGATGCTCTACTCCAGCTAAGCATCCAAAAATACTGTGGCTCCCTTATCCATGCTAGCAAAGATGAAGCAGGCTAGACTTCTACCCCTGCTGGATGGTGTCAGAGAAGACCAAGACACGAGCCAGGAGTTTCATCCCAGCTAGCTGGGAACAAGCCCTTCTCCTCCCATGGCATCAGTGGAGACCACTTGGGAGCCTGGATTTCTACCCACATCCAGCAGTAAGAACCTCCCTCCACCAAGTCAAATGAGACCAAATGGGAAGTATAGACTTCTGCACTCAACCAGCAATAACAAGGTAGTAATAACCCCCCTTTCCCTGCCAGAGAACTGTCCAAAAAGGCCAGTTAAAACAAAATTTCAGTGGGATCCAGAGTCTAGTAACGTAATTAGGCAAATGTCCAGGTTTCAACAGAAAATCACTCGTCCTACCAAGAACCAGATGATCTCAAATTGAGTGCAAAGAGACAGTCAACAGGAACAGCTGGGTGGCTCGGTGATGGAGTGTCTGCCTTCAGCTCAGGTCGTGACCCTGGGGTCCTGGGATCGAGTCCCTCATAGGGCTCCCCGCAAGAAGCCTGCATCTCCCTCTGCCTATGTGTCTGCCTCTTTCTCTGTGTCTCTCATGAATAAATAATATCTTTAAAAAAAAGAGAGAGAGAGAGACAATCAACAGATGACAGCCACAATATGGCAGAGATGTTAGGATTACCTGATAAAGATTTTAAAGCATGCATGATAACCATGCTTCAACGAGCAATTACAAACATGGTTGAAACAAAGAGAATAGCAGAGCACCATAGCGAATAGAGAATCTTAGTGAAGAAATAAAAGAAATAAGAACCCAGGAAGTAAAGGGCTGAGAAACACATTATCCATAACAAAAAGCCAGGTGGAGGGGCTCAACAGCAGAATGGAGGTGACAGTGAACTGGACAGAAACCAATAGAAGTTACCTAGTAATTTATTGGAAAATAAGCGAACAGAGTCTCAGGGACCTGTAGGAATATAGCAGATGGTCAATATTCATGTTCTGGGGGCTTTGAGGGAAAGGGACAGGTCAGGGTGGCCCAAGGTGACCTTTGGGTCAAGGGAACACAGGATCTCTGTATTATTTCTTGTCACTGAGTATGAATTTATAATTATCTCAACATAGAAAGTTCAATTTTTTTTTTAAGGAAGAAAAATTGATTTCTCAGCTAAAACATAATCTAAGAGAGAAACATCCCTTAATCCCTCCTCTGCCCTTTGGCAGCCCATCAGAACCGATCGTAGACCTGCTTTCTCTGGGTCACCTCATTCCGGTTTTATATTTCATAGGCTGAGGCAACATTGAACTCAAGAAGTAATCCCAGTACTCCTTTCACTCAATTTACTAAACATTTTAGACCCAGCTGAACTTTCCTATAACAGAATTTTTACTATAATGCCTTCTAAAAGAAAGAAAAAGTTAAATGTCAGTGTTTGCCCGATGTTCCCATTCTTCTTCCTTGTAATGAAGTTGGTAAATACCTGTGCTCGTATTTGACTCTCAGTTGCCTGAGAACGACTGGCTTCCTTCCGATTCCTCCCGCAGAGCATCGAGATGAGACTCAAGGTCAGCCTACACGAAGACCTGGGGGCCGCCCTCATGGATGGCGTGGTCCTCTGCCACCTGGTCAATCACATCCGCCCGCGATCCGTCGCAAGCATCCACGTCCCCTCCCCAGCAGTCGTAAGTAACTCCAGACAAGGGGAAACGAACTTTCACGTAAGGCCAATCCTTTGGGGATAGTGTTGCTTGTTAAAGATGCCAACAGGGTCGCCCAGGACCTCAACAACCAGAAGAGAGTAAAAGAAAAAGCTTTGAATGAAGCAACATTTTGACCATTTATATTTACATATAAATTACCTATAAATACATATAAACATGTAAATGACCGAAAAATAATTTCTTTCTGAAGTAAAGCAAACCCGTTAAAGGAATTACTACTGGTCAGGGCGCTAACCTTTAAGGCCATAAGGACGTAAAGATTCATTTCTCACTAGGGGTCGTTTAAACAATGAGAAGTCTTTTCCAGAAAGCTTTTTTGGCTGGTGGCTTCTCTGCTAAATGGAATCTGCTTCCTTTATTAGTCACTGAGGATTTTAGGATGACTCGGAAAAGATGTAGATTCTATGTAAAATGGCATTATTTTTAAAAGAGATTTTGTTTATTTATTCGAGGGGAGGGGCACAAGGAGAGTGAAGGGGCAGAGGGAGAGGGAGAAGCAGACTCCCCGCTGAGCAGGGAGCCCGGTTCGGGACTCGATCCCAGGATCCTGAGATCATGGCCTGAGCCGAAGGCAGATGCTTAACTGACTGAGCCCCCCAGGGGCCCCATAAAGGACATTTTCTATAACCTGTCAAGCCAGAGGTTGGCCAGCCAGGCATTAATTCAAGGATTCCTTGATGCCTCACTTTGCTCAGGGGGACACTGGAGGTACCGGGGCAGCAGTGACAAAGGTTGATGGGTGAGACCCTGCTAATAAACTAAAAATCCTCGTCTCCGCCGTGGGTGAGATGAGGCGTGCCCCTGGGCGCCTCTGCCTATACATCACAGAGCACGTTTCCATCCCCAAGAGAACTACAGAGTCACTTTCACCGTCCTTCAGATGCAGGCGGGCGAATCTGGGACAAGCTTGTCTTTGGAGCCCAGGTGGGGGTTCAGGCAGGTAGAGAAGAAAGGAAATCCTGTCCACACTGGCTGATCCTTAGGAAAGGTGGAGGGTGGGCGACGGGCACCGAGGGGACCACTTGATGGGATGAGCACCGGGTGTCATACTGTATGTTGGCAAATCGAACTTCAATTAAAAAAAATAATTAAAAAAAAAAAAAGGAAAAGTGGAGGAGTTTAAGGGCTAAGAAGGCAGGGTTTGGGTTCAGACTCCAGATCCAACCCATAAGCCACGGTGGGCAAGAATTTAACCTGGGCAAGAATTCTCTGGGCAAGAATTTAACCTCTCTTTAACTCGATTTGTTCTCTTTCACGGAGATGTTCTTGTGAGCACGAATACCGGCCAGCGGGATTCGTTAGTGTTTATAGAACAGATTTTCAGAATTCAGAGCCCCTAATTCCGAGGCACAGTGCTCATAGAATATCAGGTAATGAGTGTGTTTCTCCCTCCGTCACCTGCAGGAAAGGCTCACAGTGACATTATTTCTTTCCTCCTGGTGGCGGGAGACATTGGTCGAGGGTTCCCCTCTCACTGTCCGTCTCCTCTATATCGTGCAACATAGTTTTCCTTTGCAAAACTTTACCATTTTAGCTCAGAAATCATGGGGGGGGGGAAGGTCAGTTTGTCTTCTCTTTTACATCAATCTCTAGCTTGATTGAGTTAGCAGCCAGGTCCGTCCTGTAATCCAGGATGAAACTTTCCAGGGTTTTCTACAGATGAGGTGCACGCTGCCAGAGAGTGGTCTGAGCCATACGCCCAATTCTCATTTCATTTTTTCCCAAATTCTAAGAGAGAAACTGCGACTCCTCACAGCTTCCGATTTGAATTCATGGTTATATTATTGATAGTGAGTAAGAACCATGTATCTGAGAGCATTTTTATATTTTATTAAGCCTCCAGGGGAAATGCTGCATTCTTTTCAAAATCTTTTGGTTGTCAACTTCCTTTCTTTTTTTTAAATTTTTTTTTTTTTTAAGATTTTACTTGAGAAAAAGAGTGTGAGCAGGGGGAGGGAGAGAGAGACTCCCCGCTGAGTGTGGGGCTCCACCCTGGGACCCTGAGATCATGACCTGAGGCAAATGTTTAACCACCTGAGCCACTCAGGTGCCCTTATTTTCTTTCTTTTTTCTTTTTTTTTTTTTAAAGATTTTATTTATTTATTCATGAGAAACACAGAGAGGAGAGAGAGAGAGAGGCAGAGACACAGGCAGAGGGAGAAGCAGGCTCCATGCAAAGAGCCAGATGTGGGATTCAATCCCGGGACTTCAGGATCACGCCCTGGGCTGCAGGCAGCACTAAACCACTGAGCCACCCGGGCTGCCCCCTATTTTCTTTTTTAAAATATATTTTTTTAAATGAAAAAACAATAGGAAGTAATGTCCAACTAGAGAAAATAGAGAAATGCAGAAATTTAAAAAAAAAAGAGAAAACTTTATTCCATAAGCCAAAGACTACCACTGTTAACATTTTGGCTTCGTTACTAACTACTAGCATCCTTTCTGCATTTAAGTTGTTTCTGAATTAATGAGCTCCTCCTTTATGCCATTTGGTAGTTTTTAAAATATATTAAAGCCTAAAGATTTCCTCATGCTATTAACGTTCTCCAGTAAGTGTCCATTTTAATGACTGTTAATATATCTTAGCTCAGGTTATCGGGTCGTAGTTTTCCTCTAGAAATATGGGCTGTTTCCAAATGTCCACTTACCAGACATTCTTCGTGGGCATCTGGAAGCACCCTTGGAGCAGCCCAGCCGTGCGACAGCTCTGGAACCTGTGCTTTTGGGCCTAGTGTACCCCGTCATGGCCACTGCAGTGTCTCACGGGCCGTGCTCTCCCAGGAAGGCTGCGCCCTCCCTCTCTGCAGCTCTCCTCACCTCGCAGCCTCGCCGGCTCCCATTTCTCCTCTACTTCAGTGTCTACAGGAGCCACGCCATCCTTGACCCCGCCATCCTTGACCCCTTAGAACCAAGTTCGATTCTTTTCCTTGGTTTTTTGCTCCCTCAGGACATCTCCCAATGAAGACCTCTACCTACTATACTCTCATCTTCTTTATTTTATTTTTTTTCCTATAAATGAAGAATAGTGGATTTTGAATATCAGAATTTTGGATTTATTTTTTTAAGATTTTATTTATTTATTCATGAGAGACACACACACACAGAGAAGCAGACATAGGCAGAGGGAGAAGCAGGCTCCATGTGGGGAGCCTGATCGGGACTCGATCCCAGGACCCCGGGGTCACGACCTGAGCCCTGGTAGACGCTCAGCAGCTAAGCCACCCAGGTGTCCCTGTCGTCTCCTTATTTACTTACTTACTTACTTACTTACTAATATTTCCAACTAGACCAGAGAGCTAAGCGACCATGAGGGTTGTGTGTTTGGCTTCCACAGGTGCGCGCTTAGCCCCAAGTGGGGTATGTGACCCAGAGCCAACGCTTGGCGTGCACCATCGTAGCCACACCAGCAATGCAGTGGATGCCTTCCCTTCCCACATTATTGTCAGCATCAAGCCTTCGATTTTTCATTCAAGAAACTGTTGTGTGGGTAGTAAGTGCTTTTCTGGCCTAAACCCAGGCAACAGTCGTATAGTGGGCCCTCCCTCACTTCCGGAAGTGGGAAATTCTCTCTGTGTAATTTGAAACAACATCTCACCGACTCTACTGGGTTGACCTAATGATCGCGAATGGCTTGGGGCATCTTTGGAGTTTCAGAACAGACTCCCCCACCTAAATAATGAGTATATGAAGGGAGATAACGGGCCCAGAGAACTGGAGAGACAAATACTAGCATCTCAGAATGATGAGCAGCTCTCCCCGTGGTACCCCCTTTTTAAGGGAATTAAGAGGGAAATACTAAAATTCAACAGTACAGTTTTAAACCTACTACGTAAAAATTAAAATGTATGAATCAGATGTACCCTTTTCTATGCCACACCTTAGAGGTGATCTGTAACCACAGTTGATTGGGTCCTGGGCATCCCAGCATCTTTATGCTGTTTACCCCTGTGTTGCCTCTTTTCTTGTTAAACCCGTTGCTCTGGTGGGAAGGAGATTAATTGACCTGCTGAATTTAACCCTTCATACAGAAATCTATCTGCTGATGGGAACGATTGATGCTTATGGCATATTTGTAGATGAACTGGAGCAGATTACACAAGAGTATGATCCCATAAAAACTAAATATGTGTGTGTTTACACAAATACACAGAAGTTTGCATGTATGCACATACATATATACACGTAAGCACACGTGCAGAAATTCTGCTTATATAAACATCCATGTTTGTACATATGTTGTATATATGTACGTATGTACAGTTTTTAAAGATATAATTCTAAGTAATATCTACACCCAGGGTAGGGCTTGAACCCACAGCCCCAAGATCAAGAGTTGTATGTGGTACCGACTGAGCCAGCCAGGTGCCCCATTTACATCATCTTTACACACACATACATGTACACACATCTACAGTGTCTGGAAAAATATAATCCAAAATGTTAATAGTTCCTATTCTCTTGGTGGATATATCTGGATGATATTTACGGTCTTCTATTTGCTTGTATGTTTTTTTTTTCCCTCTAATGAACGCGTATTGCTTGTGACATCTCGAAAGTTTAAAATTTAACCTGTTACTAAAACTATTTCTCTTTTAATTATTCATTATTTCTGCGTATTTGTATTTACAGCCCAAACTCAGCATGGCCAAATGCAGAAGAAATGTGGAAAACTTTTTGGAAGCATGCCGAAAATTAGGAGTGCCAGAGGTAACGTCAAACTTATCCCAGTTAACTATGCTTTGGTATAGATTTCATTTCACCTATGTGTTTGAACCCACCGATGGATGCACAGCTTTGCACCTCCTTTTTTAGTCTCAGCCCTTTCTTGAGGAATAATATTAAATCAGCTATCTAAAATTTTAGTTTAAATTCCTCTATCTCAATGAGATTAAAATGGCTTATAGCAGTATGGTCAACACTGAGGGAAAAGGGAATATCATTCATTTCAGGTTTTGAAATAAATGCAAAATTCCAGCCTTGAGAAAAACCTGTAGTTAGCTTGATTCTCTACTCCAAGAGCAGAAATGACTGTGGCTGCAGTGAGCCTTCTGGCAGGTTCCATAGGGTAGAATTTTGGAGCTGTTGGTTTTCCTTACCCGTGGCTCGTAAGCAAAGCAGACCTGTAACTGACCACTAACTAGTTGGTTTCCGTTCCGTGTGGTTGCATTTTGGGGTATGTGGACCAAAATAGTCAACACTGAAAACATCATAATTATTGTTATTATTATAATCAATCATTACCAATAATAATAACAATGTATGTTGCTTTGTAATTTGTTATCTGTTTGCGGTTCCATTTCCCCCATTAGTCCGCCGTAGACCCCACTGGCACTCCCTGTAGCCCGCCCAACTGTACTTGGCTACTTTCTCTTTCTCCCAAGCTAAAGCCCCAGCCTCAGCCTCAGCCTGATGGCTAATCTGGGGCTTTTAAAGACTTTCCTATTAGTAACATATAGTGATTTCTTAAAAAATAATAATAAAATGATTTCTTAGGGAGACAGAAGCTCAATCCGCTCAGAATTTGGGGGTAAGTTGGTAAGTTTATCATCATTGTGGTAAACGGAAGTGGACAGAAATCACATTATAAAAATTTTTTCTTCTGTATTTTCTAATATATCAGGGATAAAGTAACTATAAACTGTCATGAAATACTGCTTATGAGTATCTGAGGGAATCACATTGCATCGTAATCCTACTCAGTGTTGGAGTTAGGTATTGGACCCTCGAGAAAGGCTTAGTCTCCCTCCCTCCTTCCCATCTTCCTCTTTTTCCCTTATCTTTCCTTCCTTCCCTTCCTCCTTCCTTCCTTCCCTCCTTCCTTTGCCTCCACCCCCCCATCTTTTAGCTTATTAAGGTTCAAAGGTGAGGGGTTAGTGGTGCCATTCTTAATTTTATTTGAAGACAAGGAAAGAACTGCATAAGCATCATTATGTCAGAACTATATCCATAAAGAAAAGCTTATAAATTCCTGTTTATAAAAAGAGTGTAATCTTTGTATGACGGACTAAATGTCTTTGTGATCAATCCAGACGTCTTTCAACGCTGTTAATCTGTGTGTCTGTATTGCATGTGTACGTTTTAATATTGCATCTACGTTCTTGGTGTCAAATATTTGTGCAAATTCTCATACACGAACTATTATTAATGGTTTGACTCCATCACAGGCTAATAAGATTTCCATGTGCGAATCAAAACTATCATACCAAGTTCCAGAGGATAAATTATCTGTGTCTGTGCTAGAAAGCACTGATGAATTACGGCCTCATCCCCTGTGACATCTTTAAACTCATCGGATTTTTTTTTTGGCGGCGGGGGGGGGGTAGTGGTGGCTTATGGTGATACAAAACGAAATGGAAATGTCCTTAACCGAGTGTTGTGAGTAAAGGTTGGCTAATTACAATTTTCTCTTAAGGTAGGGAAGAGAAAATTAAATTACCATAATATGCAGAGAAAAATTTTTCATCATTTCTGAATTATGCCCCTAGCGAAGTGCCCCTTGCACTAATCAGCGGTTGGTAATTTCGGAGAAGATTGTGTTACGGGGAATGAATAACCTTTTTTTGCCAGGGTCCCATTTGCCAGTGCTTAGTAAGACATATATTACTTAGGCTACCTTTGGGATTTCTTTTTAAGATTTGAGGTGAGATTGCGGTTTTGCATCGTGTGTAACGTGCACGTGTGGTTGCGTGCACACTCGTGTGTGTGTGTGTGTGTGTGTGTACATATATATCCATCCCCATGGATACTCCGGTAGCATTTTACTGGTGACTAGTGTTACATTAAGCTTTGTGCTACCAAGGTCTGTTGGTTAGGTAGCAGTTGAACTTCTTAATGAGACATGTTAAAGGAAGGAAGGAATATTCTAGTGGAAAATTAGAAAATGCCCTTGGAAGGCGATTGGCAAATCATCCCGTACACTCGAGGGAACTTAGTTTCATCTCACAGAATGCATGATTGGAAATGAGGAGCTCTTTTAATCAGGGAATAGCAGAGTGGGCCGGGGGAGGGGGAAAAACGACCCTCTTCTCCCTCAGATACGCTTCTTTCCCTGCTGAAGGGGATTATGTTTTAACGTGTATGTGGCACGCTGCAATTAATTATTTGCACTACAAAAGCAATTCTCCCACAAGCCTACGCGCATAAATTCTCCATTTACGATCAGGCTGGTACCTAGAAAAACAGAGAACCGATACCGTTAGGTTTTCTTAATTGCATCACACTTAATATTTGGGTAACAAAATAGGCCTTGATTACCCAGCCCCAAATATAGTTAATTCCTCAGTTTGTAACTTTTCCTGCTTTCTTCTCCATCCCTTGCTTACCTACTCACATACCTCGTAGTCCCAGAGATCTTGAGATCTGTATCTTATAAGCTAAATGCTGACAATGATGAATCGTCCTGTAGAGACTGAAGAGTCACAGCCGTGCTCTAAGCTCTGGGTTTCTTGTCCTTTGTAGTAGTATCACTGTTCGAAACCACCAGGCTTCAGCGTCAGCGTCCGCCCCATATGTGATTTCTGCACGTTCCTACACGTGCAAAGTATTTGCTGAACAGATTCAGTTAAATTTTTACAAATAAAGTCATCTGAAGGGACGGAAGCAATTTTTAAATGGTTCCAATGGTCATAGTTTATTCCATTTTCATTAGAAGTCCCCATGGACACCGTCACGGCCGTATGCCTCGGGTCCGTCAAGGCTCACGATGCGTCTTGCCCTTTGGTAGAGAGGTTCTGGTGCGGCTCGCCTGGAAATGTGCCTCCTTCCCTTGGCCGCATCCAGAATTACAGACGGTGTAAGCAGCCGGTCAGTGCCTTCGCAGAAGGTTAGCATATGGGGACAAGGGAGACAACTCCAGACCCCTGGGTGTTGTTTGTGACGTTGCGTAAGGCTGGATGGACACCCTTGGCTCCTTACGTGCAGGGGAACAGACAGGACTTGGGACAGCAGCTGCTACTGATGGAAGGACGATGAGATCACAGGAAGAAGTTAGCGATAGGGATCTGGAGCAGTTCTGGTGGGGTGACCGGAGACTTACATGCCATCAGCCGAGAAGGATTTGGGGTGAGGTAGAAGTTTGCTAATGAGATAGAGGTTTGCCTCAGAGAGATGTCCTTAAAGATGAACCAGAAGCAGCACTTGTGGGCAAGCTTCTTTCTCAGTGGAGGGGATGACGTTCCTTCCCATAGTTATTTCAGTGGAGATCATTTTCCTCCCCACTGCCCATTTCTGGTGCATTGGGGGAGGGGGTCTTGGTTTTGGTTTGGGGGACCAGTCCCTCAACTAAAGGGACACACTCAGAGTGACTATAACCCTGAAGGAGAAGAGCGAGTGGGTGAAAGGGATCTGTGAGCAGAGGGAGGGAATGCACAAGGTGGGGGGTCAGTCGTCCCTTCCTGTGCTGTTAACTGGTTTTGAGGCCGACTCCTTAAAATTAGCAGCGGTTAACTGCGTATTGAGGACTTCCTTTACGTGCATCATCTTAAATGCTCACCGTGGAGGGTTGGGGGTCAATATTTTATTGCCACGCTCCGAGGAAACCGCAGTCCAGGGCGGTTAAATAATTTCCTAAGCTCACGCTCCCAGCTGGTAGCTGCAGAGGTGGCGTTGGAACCCGGCTCTCTGGGACCCAGTTCCCCCCGCCCTGCAAACTGCAGGTGTTGGACTTGAGCAGTAAATTCAGGCCACGTTCTTCAGAGCCCTGGAGTCTTTCGAACGTCCGGCACAGCAGGTGAGGCAAAGCCAAGGGGGGAGACTACAGACCATTCCCGCCCTCTCGCACCCGCCAGAGCAGTGGCTCCTTCGTCCATAGCAGATATTGGCTTCCCAGCTCACATTTTCTTTGGGGAGAAAAAAGTATCCTGTGGCTAAACATAGCTTGAAAGTCATCAGGGTACTAAGATTCTCCGAGCTGTAAGATTCCGTGAAAGCTCCCCTGTATCCTGCAGCTCCACAGTTGCTTCCCCTGCTTCGGGGTAGAAGAGTGAACCACAGGTGCATCGTGGTGCCTTGGAGAACCTGGGATTGTGTGAGGGTCCCAGCGCCCTGCAGAGCCCCTGCGGGTACTGATGCCAGGAGTCAGACTGTGCAAAGCCGCCTTTGACGTCTGGCGCAAGCATCAACTTGATCTTGAAGACGGGCCGACCCTTGGTGGGCTTTTGGATGCCTGAGGATGTGTTCTTTGTGTCCCCCAAGAACCTGACTTCAGTCACAGTCATGAGGCTGTTACTGGACACACTGAGGCTTCTTTTCTTGGCCTCTAAACTTGTCATAGAAGATTCATGGTTGGCTGTGGGGGGTTTCCAAATTGATCCAAATTTAGCGTTGTTTGGGGCTCTTACTAGTGTTGTCGCAGGTCAACAGAAACCTCCGATTTATGAATCATTAAAAGTATTCAAAAATAGATATTTTTTTGGTTTACCAGGGAAATTTTTCTACTCTGTTTTCAATAAGTAGCCTTGGCCTCAGACCTCTGTAAGGAGCAAGGTCTTTAACCTAAGAGACAGGCCGTCTTTAGAGGAGGAGGGAACTTACAGGAAATGCGTTTTGTGCCCTCCATAGTCCTACTGTCTGCAGAGGGACAACAGAGAAGAGGATGAAGGGCAGCAGCTCCAGGACAGGTTGGCGGTTCCGGGCCCCCACCTGCCCTCCTGGGACTGGAGGGTATCCCTCGGCTTCTGCATGGGCCAAATGCAGTTAAAAATAAAATCCTGGAGCATGTTCGGATTCTAACACATGTAGTGGGTCATGTTGACGTTATTTATGGCTGAGTCTTCTTTTTAATACTTTTCATATTTGCCTTTTCTTGTTTTTTTTTTTAATTTATTTTTTTATGATGAGATACAGGGTCTGAAGGTAACAGTAGTCACTTCCCTAATGTTGCTGAAGGTTTAGGAAATTTGTAACTAATCTGATTTTTTTTTCTTTATTGACATACATTCGGTAAATTGAAGCTACTCTTTTTCGTTGTTGTTTTAACCTTGAGAACGGGAGAAATGAGTTCTCCCTCTTTGAACTTTATGTCTGCCTTCTTCCCCCTAATCAGTAACTTGAGCATCAATTTAAGTCATAACTAGTAAAAGCTTTTGGGAGATGGGATGAGATTATTATTACAAAGCTTATTGTAATTTTCTATTCATACTGGTTAATTCTGAGGCCGAAGAACCAGAGGTGCAGATGGACACATTTATCATTTTAATTAACAGCAATTTTTAAGTTCATAATTTATTAAGAAGGGTCCGTCTCTGGTGTGTAAAATCAGGCACCCTTCTTCCACCCTTATTCTTGTGTTTATCACTGAGAATGTAAGACTCCTTTCCCGCCGCGTGTCTCCTGCTGGCAGGGTCTCTGAGGTCAGCAGTCCAGCAGCCTTTCATCCGTGCATTGTTGAGAATAAACGTTTTATTTATTTATTTATTTATTTATTTATTTATTTATTTATTTATTTATTATTTTTAAAAATTTTTTAAAATTTTTATTTATTTATGATAGTCACAGAGAGAGAGAGAGGCAGAGACACAGGCAGAGGGAGAAGCAGGCTCCATGCACCAGGAGCCCGACGTGGGATTCGATCCCGGGTCTCCAGGATCGCGCCCTGGGCCAAAGGCAGGCGCCAAACTGCTGCGCCACCCAGGGATCCCCGAGAATAAACATTTTAGAAGCAGCATCTTCAGTTACAGTTCTAGGTAAAGTGGCTCACTGATAAAATAGTTACCCTGTAAGTACATAAAATTGATATAGATTCTCAGATATTTGGAGAAAATTCTGGAAGCCCAGCATTACCCCACTCCCATCAGATTATGGCCTCCTCTGTCAGCCCTTTAAAGGTTCAGAATGGCTGTCAACATTCCTGAGCTTTGTTATCTGAGATTTTAAAAAATACTTTGTAAGTATGGTCACCTTAAAAATTAAAATATTTAAATACATTGAATATATTCTAAATCTCCTAGAATTTAGACTGCTTGACCCTCAGAACATTTATAAACCAGACCTTTTCCCTGACCTGTCTACGATTCTGTTTGGGGGAGCTGGGCCAGTCTTGAACCCAGAAAGCTTCGTCACACATTCTCGTGTTGACTCTAAGAGAAAGTGGTCGTTCACCTCTCGGGGTTGTGAATTCTGTTCTGCGTGGTGGGGATTAGCAGCCACACTTGCCTGTGAGGACTCTGCGTGTATTAACTGGGTTTACTTTACTTTTTTTTTTAAAGATTTTATTTATTTATTCATGAAAGATAGAGAGAGAGAGAGAGAGAGGCAGAGACACGGGCAGAGGGAGAAGCAGGCTCCCTGCAGGGACCCCGATACAGGACTCGATCCCAGGACTCCAGCATCACGTCCTGGGCCGAAGGCAGGTCCTAAACTGCTGAGCCACCCAGGGATCCCCTTAACTGGGTTTTTCAAATTACGGCCTACCGTAATTACCGACGCCCTATAATACCGAGTGAAATTTTGCCCCTTTAAATTTTCTTCCTCAAAAAAAAAATAAATTAAAAAAAATAAATTTTCTTCCTCTTCAGCATTTTCCTATTTTAATTTTAAGATAAGAAATGTATAATCTCTTAAGTCCGCCTCATTACGACTGTGGTTTGGTAGGCACAAGGGGCAGAAAATCCGTTCCTCCCAGGGGTTTCAGCCCTGGTTCCTAGCCCAGCGTCCCTGCAGAGGCTGCTCCGATGGCCGTGGGCTGTGGGCTGTGGGCTGTGGGCCGCGGGACAGGTCAGCGCGCAAGTCTCAGAGGGCCCCCTGCACCCCGCACTCCCCCGTTACGGCGACTTCAGCTTTTACCTACCAGACAATCCTAGTTAGACCCACGCCTTTCCCGTTAGAGGCCACGATTCAGTCTAAACCAACCACCATGGACTGTGGGTCTGCGCCCTCCCCCACTTGAATCTGAATTAAGCCCAGAATCTGTGGCGTCGCGAAATTAATTCCAGGAGGAGGAGGATGGTCTGTGCTGGCTCCCCCGTGCCAGAAGTGTGCTCCTGAAGACCACTGCAAGGACAACCCGACCCCAGTTCTTTGGTGGGGAGCAGCCCAGACATTTCCATAGGGTTCCAGCAGGTGTATTCAGATAGACACCGGAGCTGGAATGATTTGCTTTTAACATGGAAATACCCACTTCTGTGGAAATCACTTTTCGGTTTGTGGATGCCTCCTGTCTTCTGTCTGCTTTGCTCAGATTTCACTGGTTAAAGCACAACATTGCAATAGAGAATTCTTATTGCAATAGAAACTTCTTTCCTTAGATGTTTCGCCACCTGCTAATGCTCGATCTGCGTCTCTCCCCCAGTGAAATCAGATCTGTGTGTAGCTGTTTCCATTCTCAGGAAAATAACAGGTAGTTTGGTTCCTCCAAACCCACTGAGAAAAGACGCATGATCTGAACAGGTAGGACATGACTCAGGGTCTTTAAAAAGTCTTAAGAGCAGCATCTCTACCTTCATACATTAACGTAAGAGTAGAATGTTTTTGCTCTTAGGCACCCCACTTGGTACCGTAATATTCCTATTTATCCGAGGGCACCGAGCTAACTTCAGGGGATAAAACAAGTCAGCGTCTCTACCTTAGACTCAGCGGCTCTGGGATTTGCCTCTGCTTAGCAATGAGGCTAAAATAAGGGGCAAAACTGTAGCAAAGGATGTTGCAAAATACACATTGCACGTGTTTGAGATGCTTCGCCAAATTCGAACTAAAGCTGCATTTACGAAATAGAAATATCAATTAAATGATCACTTAATCCTATTAATTAGGATTAAATTATAATCTCCGGTAACGTCACGCTGGGGTCATTTCCAGTTCAGGAGCCCAGTGTATGAGGAGGCCGTTGGCTTCCTGACGGCAGCAGATACTCTGAGGCCGACCCAGAACACCTGTGCCCCCAACACACCTGTTCAGAGGTGAAGGCATTTACGTGACAGCCCCACGCGGGCGTCTCACGTTTTACCCCAACCGCACGTCTAAGTTAGGAGACCCCCCCCCAGACTTTGGGCCCCCGTGTGGCTACAGGTGCACGAAATGCAGGGGCCTCTGTGGCACGTGCGGGGACATGTTCGCAGCCAGCATTCCCCAGGGTTTATGAGCCACCCTAACCCGGAGATGGCTTAGGTGACCTTTCAGGGAGGGGCACTTTGGGTGCCCTCCGTGTTGAGACGCCGGGCTCAAGAATGCGTGGGGGGCGGTGAGGACAGGTGGGGGGCCGCCCTGGGGGTTCCCGTCTTTCCCGTAGGTCGTGTCGTGAGTGTCCCTAGTGCAGAAAGAGGCGCCGACTTTCGTGCCATCGGCGAGCTCGGGCTGCCCTTCACCGGGCACGCGGTTCGGGCGCCGGGCGGGGCCTGGAGGGTACAAGGTGGCACCGGACCCACGGGCTGCGCCCCGCTCCTGCAGCGGTGGGTGAGGCAGTCGCTGACGGTGCGTGGACATAAGGGGTGGCTCTTGCCATTTGCTAGGAGGCAAAAAAAAAAAAAAAAAAAAAAAGTGTGCATCTTTGCAGCTGCTCCTCGGCGGATGTTAACCGTGTGCACTGTCTCTTTCTGTCCCGATGGCTGTCCCCGGACTAGGCCGACCTGTGCTCTCCGTGTGACGTCCTGCAGTTGGACTTCCGTCACATTCGAAAGACTGTTGGCGCTCTGCTGGCACTTGGGGACAAAGCCCCACGACCGAGCTCTGCCCTCCGCTCCAGGGACCTTCTGAGCTTCTGTCTTGTCCCTATTCTCTTTGTCATTCTGGCCTTGGTCACTTACCGCTGGAGCGTTCTGGCCGCCTAGCGTCTGCACCCACCCCCCATCCGTCTCGGGGACCCCCCCCCGCCCCCAGTGGCCCATTAGCAGGCTCTCGGGCCGGCCGCCGGGTGCCAGGCCCAGGCTTCCTCCCTCCCTCCCTCCTGCTGGCCCGGGGGGAGCCGACGAGGGTTCCAGAACAGGAGCAGAGGGGCTCTATCAGCGCATGGAGAATGTTCGGATGAACATTCAAACTTCATTAAGACGTGCAATATGGCAATTTTACTGGGGGTTTTAACCCTATCTAAGATACGATTGCTTGCTGGGGCTTAGCAACAGGGTCCAGCTCACACTTAGCACTAATTAAATACTTGATTGAATAAATGCAATGCCAAACAAAATGCATTCAAATGCTTTCTAAAAAAAAAAATCAATTTTAAAGGCCTTTCTATTCAGGCTAATGACAAACACAATAAGGGCAGATATGCTAGTTTAACCTAATTGGCTGACTTTATACAGCACTTACATCTTTTAGTCCACAAGTATATTATCAAATGATAGAGAACATCTAATACAACCATTTCTACAGAACTAGGAAATACATTTCTAAGAAAGAAAGATTTTACAGACCCCATCCTTTTACACCCAACCCCAACAGTCTACTCCAGCACTTGGCCGTCGAGGTGTAGGAGGGCCGGCTGGCGGAGGAGCTCCGAGGCTGGCATGGGGTCCCCAGTTCGGCCCATAATTGTAAGAATCCCCTGATGGACAAGCTGAAAGAGCCCATCGCGACTGCCTGCCTGGCTGGCCATGTGGCTGGATTCCTCCCTGCTTCCTGCAGCCGGGGCTGGGAGGGTGGCCCCCCTCCACCCAAGGGAGCCCCTCTGCCCTACAGCATGACCCCCCCCAGCTGTGCAGTGGGCCACAAGGGATCGAGGGTCCCTTGCTGTCCGAGCACCCCCCGGAGGCTTCGCTTGCACGTCACCTCGCGCGTATTTTTACGTTTTGCTCCTTGTTAGGTCTGCCCTGAGCTCTAAGGAAAGCATGTTTCCGGAGGGGATTTCTATTTTTAAGTACAGTCATGGGTCGTTTTGGTTTTTTGGCTCCATCACATCATAACTGGAGGTCAAGAGTGTGATGGATTTGACTGTATTTGCTTTCAAATAAAGCCATGAGTCATGGAACATTCTTGGTCCTAGGACTTGGGTCACGGTGGCCGGAGCCAACAATGAGATTGGCTCTTATTTTAGAAGAATGTAGTTTCCCTAACAACCTGAAATTTCCCTCGAGCCTTTGATGCCCGGTGACATTAGCAAGCTGCTCCTGTCTTGAGGAAGCTTACAGGGTCACCTAGTAACTGTATCTGCTTTGGGAGCAAAGCGATCCGTTTGTAACTAAAAGAAAAGAGAAAAAAAAAAAACAACATTAGAATCTTGTCTTGGCCAAGACATTCCTGGTTCTGGGATGTCTCTTCCTAACATGAGAAGGCCCTCCTCCGTGGCTCGGGTCCCCCTACGCTCCACCTTACATCCAGTTGCCAAATACTATTCATTTCTTCGCTTTGGGAGATGATTACGTTAACTTCTTCGAGATAAGTTTCTAGCTTACTGAGATGTGAAGAGTCTACGTCGACGGCTGCTAAGAAGATAATTGTATTTTTCCGAACGCTTCCCCGAGCCCAGGGGGACTTGAGAATATGGAAAACCCACATAGTCAGAAGACTGTATTTATATGTAGTCTTTGTGGCTAAATCTTAGGTCAGGTTTTCTAACAGGTAACGTTCTTTAGGTGAAAGCACCTTGTTGGGTTCCCTGAGCGGTTTCTCTCCTGATTCTGTGTTGACTGGGGGAAATACAGGGCGTGTGGACGTGACCCGGTTAACCTGGGCTGTGTGTAAGGAGCCCACAAGATGTACTCAACCGTTGTGGGCGCCACCTTGTGCTCTTCCACCTGTAACACAATAAAGTCCCTTTGTGCAAAGTCTCACGCGCACCCTGAGCCGTAAGTTGTCTTCGTAAACACGTTTCCCTTCCCCAGCCCACACCGATACGCTGATTTGTGCCCCACCCAGAGCAGCTCTCTGCTTCCATCTGGCTCTGCAGCGCTCTGAGGCCTCCCTTAATGATGGCCACTGTTGGGTTTTGCTTTTTTTCTTCTTTGGGAGGGGTGGGAAGAAGAGAGCAGACTCACAGGGTGGCACCTGCAAGAAAATTCTATCCATAGCAACTGGGTAGAGCAATCACGTGAGATCAGACTTAATTCTCAGTGTTGACTTGACATCATTCTTGGGCTGTGGTCGTATTTCAGCTCTGGCTCAAAGGATTCTCTGGATGCACTTTCATTTCTCATGTCGTTAATGTATTTGTATCCTAGCGTGCTGCCCCTCTTGGGGTCTGTTGGATGGTATCTCTCTCTCTCTCTCTCTCTTTTTTGTTTTAATCAACCAACAGGACGCAATTAATTTAGCCCTTTCGGCACAACTTGGAATGAACTGTCTTGTCCATTGTCAGGCTGTTCATTTCTACTCAGAACATTAGGCCTCGCCATGGTTCTTCCCCGAGGTACCCACCCACCAGCTCGTGTGCTTGCGTGACGCCTGCCGGTACAGCGTGCCTGGGGTGCAGGCTGACGTGCTTGCCGTCGGAGAGCTGCTCAGGGATTTAGTTGTGTGATTGAGACGTGCGCCCCGAATCTCCTTCCTCACACAAGAAACACCATTCTCCCACTACTTCCTTCCAGCGTCTGATAAAAAGAATCAACTGTTTATTCATATCCTTTCTTTGAAATAGAAGATTGGCTTCCTCCAGCTCCTCCAGTCGCTGGCAGGTCACCACTCAAGTGTCAGGATTTCCACAGTGTGTCACAGCTGATGTATGGATTGTTCCCTCTGGGTGTGTGTGTGTGTGTGTGTGGTTTTTTTTTTTTTTTAATATTTTATTTATTTATTCCCGAGAGACACAGAGAGAGAGGCAGAGACACAGGCAGAGGGAGACGCAGGCTCCATGCAGGGGGCCCGATGTGGGACTCGATCCCGGGACTCCGGGGTCACGACCTGAGCTGGAGGCAGATGCTCCACCGCTGAGCCCTCCGGTGCTCCTGTTCCCTCTGTTTATGGATTCGTGGTTCACACGCGGCTCACTGTTCTGGGCGGGACACTTAGGGAACGAGGCTGGTGGAGAGAAGGCCCTGCAGAGCCGAACGTAAGACAGCTGAGTAGGAATCGCACCAAGGAGATAGGTAAGAAAAAAGGCACTGGATACCCTGAAACCGCTTATTTGTGAGAACTTAAGTTGAGTGCATGGTGGCTCGGGTTATCTCTCGAAAATCCAGCACACAAGGGCAAAGGACGTTTCACCTCGCAGGGTCGAGTAATGGACAGTGGAGCAAAACTTCAAGAAATGTTTTTAAATTAATTAAATTCTAATTCAATCTCAATTTTTCAAGAACCTGAACGTGGTTTGGGATCAAGTGGGAAAAAAATATTTCAGTATCATCGTATTTCAAGAGATTTGGGTCTGAAATCAGGCTTCGGGTTCTGAAACCAGCTCTCAACGACCAGTCAGAGACGCGGAATATACGCTTTTTTTCCTCTTTGAGGCCATCGGGGTCCAGTTCCGTGGCTCTTCAACGTGATTTCCTTTGTGCCTGTGTCCGTCTGTTGGTCCTTCAAGCACCGAGCGCGGCTCTTTGAGTAAGGAAGGTTCTGTGGCAGGTCTTGGGGATCAAAAAAAAAAAAAAAAAAGAAAGAGTGACCGAGATGGGTGGCGTGACCGGGTCTTCAAGACTCTTGCGGTCCGGACCGGGACCCAGCAGAATCTTCCCTGCGAAGTGCCAGACCGTGGGCCCTTGAGGCCCTGCGGCCCTGCGGCCCTGCGGCCCTGCGGCCCGTGCTGTGAGCCGTCGCAGGAGCCGTCGCAGGAGCCGTCGCAGGAGCCGCCGCAGGAGCCGCCGCCGGCTGGTGAAGGGGCCGCCGTGGCCGTGGCCGTGGCCGTGCCGTGGCCGTGTCCCGGGAGCCCCCCCGCGGAGCAGGCTGCGGACGGACCCGGCCTGCAGGCGGCCGTGTGGCCCCGGCCTGGAAGCGAAGCCGAGCCCGGGGTGGCTCGACATCTGCAAGGCCCGAGGCAGGGGATCCGGCCCGACGGGCGACGGGCGGCCTGCGAGCCCTCCTGGTCCTGGGGTGACGTGAAGGGCGAGGCCTGGGAGATGGGAGGTGGGAGGTGGGATGGGAGATGGGAGATGGGTGGGCGCGGCCGGGAGGCGGCGGGTGTGGCGGAGGCTCCGTGGCTGGGAGGCACCGGGACCAGCCGGCCTGGCCTCTCCGTCCGCGGGGGGGAGCCGCCGCTGTCCCCGCCCGCGCTGAGCCCGGGCGCCCAGGTGGCCCGCGGCGGGCGGTTGTGCTGGGGGGTGGGGGTGGGGGGGGGGGCGGGGGGGGGGCGGGGGGGAGGGGGAGGGGGCAGCCCCGTCGGCGGCGGGAGCCGGCGTCTGGGAGGCACAGGGACCGCGCTGCGCTGCTGCGATGCGCTGGGCCGGGTGAGGCCGCTCAGCCCGAGCCCGTGCGACGTGAGCTCCCGGCTCAGGAGCGCTCGCACCGAGCAGCGGCGGACGCGGCCGAAAGGAGCAAAGGGCCCCCCCCCCCGGCCCCCCACCCCCCACCCCCACCCCCCCACCCACCCGGCGCCCGGGGCTTGCCTCGACCTCTCCACATTCCGTTCGCGCTCCGCGCCGGCGCGCCCGGCCTTTCCCCGTGATCCTTGGGCCCCACGTCCTGGGAAGCCCTTGGTGATCTGATGCGGATACTTCTCTGGAGTCTGTTTATTTCTGGGCTGACGTGGCTTTGACCCTCAAGGCGACCCATCGTTTTGATCTTTTGTGATTTTTATGCCTTTTTTTTTTTTTAAGCTCAGAAAATTTCTCCATTTACTTCTACAGGAAAATGCTAGACTATTTATCTCATTTTTTAGAATTTATTTTTATTTGTTTATGATAGAGAGAGAGAGAGAGAGAGAGAGAGAGAGAGGCAGAGACACAGGCAGAGGGAGAAGCAGGCTCCATGCACCGGGAGCCCGACGTGGGATTCGATCCCGGGTCTCCAGGATCGCGCCCTGGGCCAAAGGCAGGCGCCAAACCGCTGCGCCACCCAGGGGCCCCCCTATCTCGGTTTTATTAGGAGAGATATATTTAAAAAAATAATTCTTTAATTCATTTGAAATTGCTTTTAGCATATGGCATAAATAGAAGACTTTTTTTTTTTTTTTTACCACCCCTGAGTAATGCCTAGTAGCGGGAGCTTAGCCGTAAGAGTGGCCATAATAGTGGCCACTTGTAATTTCCTACGAAGCCAGATGTCACCTTGGGTGCTGTGGAGATCATAGGAATGAGGTAAACGTACCCCGGCCCGTGTGGGACCAGCCTCAGCAATGACGTGCCAGATTGAGGTGCTTTCACAAGCCCATGACAGAGGGTCCCAGGAAGGGGTCTGCCCTGATGTCTGGCCGTGGCATGCCCATCCCGGCCTAGGACACGGCTCAGGACTCCCAGCTCAGCCTCCCATCCTGTCTCGGGTTGACACGTGGCCGCTGAGTTGGCGTAAACCCGAATGGCCACCCAATACGCCATTGACAAGACAATCCTATCACGTGAAATGATGATTAAAATTGTCCTACGTCGACGTGTGGCCATTTCTTCAGACCTGGTGCCGGGTGCCGTCTGAGACGCTCTGAACGTCCCACGAGTTAGGGAAGGAGGAAGGATAGTGGTACGAAGGCAACTAAGAGTGTAGGGAAACACCACTTTCCGAGGGCGGTTCAGTTTGCTGGAGATGTCCTGGCGTGTCCTTGGAAGATCCAAGAGCACAGTGCCTGTGCCTGAGCGCTCTGCACGGAGGAAGCGGGAAGATCTGGTCCCTCAAGCAGGAGTCACATGAGATGAAGCAGGACTGGCCAAGACCCTGATCGGCCACCACCGGGGGGGCAAGGGGGGGGCGGGTGTTGGGTTGATTCTCTGCCTTGACTTGTATGTACCGGCCGTTTCCCAAGAGCAAAAACACAACATGAGAAAGTAACAGGACATTTGTGTCTTTGACAGTTTTATGAAAGTCCTAAAAGAGAGACTGTTGAAGGCCGTGGTTAAGATTACTTACCTACAAGGCCGTTGGTAAACCACGAAGAAGGGATACCAGTCCCGCAGCGTACCTCCATTTCAGAGATCACAGCAAATAAAATCAAGGTTCATGGTCGGTAGAATGGCGCACGGTCCGCATAGCCGCGTGCATCAGTTCCTTTAAAATGTGTGAGAGGCTGTTTGCAATTTTGCTTTATGAGAACGTAAAACACTATAATGTTGGTGCTTGATTTCCACCTGACTATATAGCTCAGTTATTTAGCATAAAAGTCTTTTTAAAGATCTTTATTTATTTATGATAGAGAGAGAGAGAGAGAGAGAGAAAGGCAGAGACACAGGGAGAAGCAGACTCCATGCAGGGAGCCCAACGCGGGACCCATGGACCCATGCTGGGACTCCAGGATCACGCCCTGGGCCAAAGGCAGGCGCCAAACCGCTGCACCACCAGGGATCCCCGATGGTTTTTTTTTTTTTTTTAATGTTTAGATTGATTGCATATTTCAAGATGATTGGGAAACTTTCTGGAACAACCCCCCCCCACACACACACTTGGGCAAAAGTGTTATTTTCTCTGCACAGAAAAGGTCTTTGCCAGTGGGCCGAAGGCAAACAAGCAAGGGGGGAAGCGCCGTCTGGGGTGATCCGACGGGCGCGTAGGTCAGAGCTCAGCTTAGCTCCCGCCAGTGGCGTCTTCTAAGACTTTATGGTCACGTTTTGGTCTTCGAAACATTGACATCGCTGTGTTCTTCTCCCTTTTAGGAGAAACTGTGCCTCCCCCATCACATCCTTGAAGAGAAAGGCCTGGTCAAGGTGGGCATCACCGTTCAAGCGTTGCTAGATGTAGCGGTAACGAAGGCTCTGTTCACATGAAGCCAGCTGCTCTCCTCTGGGTCGGTTCGGACCCCCCTCATCAGAGATCCTGCACTCTGCTCTCAGCACCTGCTCTCCTCGCCTCCCGCCACTGCCTGTCAGGTCCCTGGCTCTAGATGCACTGGAGGGAGGACGTGAGGGGACATTTTTCTGCCTTTCAGAACTGGCCTCCAGTGTTAGGATAGGAGAGACACGTACCTTGAAGCCAGGGAGGGAGCCGTCTGTGAAGAACTGAGCAGCACATCAATGCCTTTTACGACCTCCTTCATCCCTTCCACGCTCACCTACTGCCATTACCAAAACACCAAGCACAACTGTTTTTTGCAACAAGATGCATTTGTTTTACTCAAACCAAACTCGTTGGGTATTTAGTGGGGGGAGGGGGACTCCATCAGGTTTTTCACCACCAAATTTTTTCAAGACGTTTCTTGAGACCATTGCCTTTTAGAAAACTATTTTCGACATACAAAAATATTTATATGAATATTATTTATTAGTGAGTTCTTATTCATCCTTTGGATGCAAATTGTAAATTAGGAGACTATTTTATTACTGCTTTTTTGTGGTTAAACACTTTATTTTAATATTATAAATACTGAATTATTTTCTATCCTCTTTGGTGTGCAGTAGTTCTAGGTCTCAGTAATCATGTTTTCTGGTGTATGTGACTCCGCAAAAAAAAAAAAAATTATGCCAAAAATAGGTGCTTCTGTGATAAGAACTATTTTCTGGGGAGGCATTATTTACACTTTGGTTTATGGAACATTGGTTTTATTTATATTTCTGCATTCCATCCAGTTTCCTACATTCCAGCAGCCCTGTTGTCCTCTCATATAATGAACTGACTGAAATCAAGAGAGCACCCCAAAGTTATTTGTAAATAGCTGTGATGGAAAAAAAAAAGGCACATTAAACTTGAAGACGAAATGTGAACAATTATTATTATTATTTTTTTTTTTTGGATTCAGACTTATTTTGCTATGCACAAAACATTCACGTTTTTTTAACACAAAGAAGTAGTAAGTGTTAGCGTCCTGTGTCTTGAAGTATAACTTTTGCACTGTAACCTGGCTAATGAAAGAAAGTCTGGCACCAAAGGTAAATGATAAGGAAATGGTATAGGAAAGTAGAGAGAAATAAAAAGTTTATTGTCTAACCAAAAAGTTTGTGTAAGGACAGCTGTGACCGAGTGAGCGAGAATGCATACGGCACATAAGGACCCGGATCAGGAAACCAGCACTTCTCACGACTGCCCCTCTTAAGAGGCGAAACGATGTCAGAGACGCAGACGTGCCCGTTTCACTGTAACTTGGTTGGCGGCTCCCGTAGAGCGCTGCAAGCCTCACCGTCGCCGGTGTGAAAGCACAGAAGTGAGTCAGCCGGTCGGTCGGGCGGGGCGGTCGGGCGGGGCGGCTGCCAGCCACCCCAGGGCAGCTTAGGGGAAGGCTAGGGCAGTGGCGTTTAGAGACCCAGTGGCCCAGAGAGGAGGAGGTTCAGTCAAAACACGCCCAGAGAGGATCCAGCAAAGGGAAGGGGCCTGTGTTGGCTCCAGGGATTCCCATAAGGCGTCTCAGACACCACCGCCTGTTTTTGGCGGTTTGCACGCGGTCTTCGCCCCACAGCGACTCATCCCCCGGTCATTCGTCTTTTAAAGTCTTGTGAAGGCTGACTGCAGCTTCCCTTCTGTGAAAAGCCACCCTCAGTTTTGAGAGCAGCAGCTGCCACATTTT